TGCTTCCAGTTCAATCCCCAGTGGGGAAAATCCGCTGCCAGGGATTGGGATAAATGAATGTTTGCCACTTCTGCCTTTCCCTTTTCTCAATGTAAACCTCAGGAGAGCCTTTGGCACAAAAAATATAGAGCCTGGAAGAGTTATACCATGTTCTGGAAGTTGAGATTCCATAAGGAATTCTTCTAACTCCGTCTGGAGTGGCAGAGGTCACTGGTAGTTGACAGCCCCTCAGTGGTTAAGACACTGCCTCTAATGACTGCAAGATCGGCAGGTCAACAGTTTGAGGTCCAAGTGGTGCATGACTGAGTGAGCTCCCATCACTAGTCCCAGCCTCTCCCAACCTAGCAGTTAGAAAGCATGTAAAATTGTAAGTAGATAAATAGGTACCACTTTGGTGGGAAAGTAACAGCATTCCATGCAATCATATTGGCCACATGATCACAGAGTTGTCTTTGACAATGCTTGCTCTTTGGCTTAGTAAAAGAGATGAACACCACCCCTACAGTCGGACACAACTTGCAATACAAACCTTGTCAAAGGGGAAACCTTTACCTTTATATCTGTGGAATGGTGAATCCACCCTGGGATTTAGTCCAAATTTTAATGAACCATCCAAGGTCCTATTTGGGGAAGAACTTCAACACATTGGCGAGATCCTTTTATGCTCAGACACAGTGGATTCCTTGCCGCACTAATAAACCACCACAAGAGGTTGGAGGAAGCTTGCAGGAAGAATACAGCCCTGTCCACTCTATGTACAAGCTAGAAAAGAGACTAGAACTAGACTAGCCACAACCCTGCTTCGGCACATTTAAGAGTGACCTTAACAAATGCCTGAGACAACCCTAGTCTATGATCCAGTTGCAGAAGTCAAAGCACACGCAGAGTCTACCAGGTAATTGTAATAAATAAGCCTGGTATCAAAGCTGTGACAGATTCACATAAACACACTTGATAAGTTTAAACTGTCTACCTCTTTGCACTTGCTGCTCCCAAGGCTCATTGTATCAACCCCTCAAATTTTCAAAGCACCAGCATCTATCCATTTTCTTATCAATATCATATGTCATGTTTATCCTTCAGCCCTGTGATAGATTTTGTGCCAACACCTTTCTCATTGGCCCTTCCAACTCCATAAGCTTTCTCTTCCCATTCTCCTTCTCCCCACAATCACCCTAGTTTTCTGCCTCCTCTCTCCTCCTCCTTTTAGGCTTCTGCTCTCAACCTACAGCCTAATCTGCTCCCCTTCTTTCAGTTACATTTATTTATAAATCTTTCTGTA